GGAGACTTCAAATTTGAAGCAGAAGGAGAGCTCCTAACCTAGTAAGTTGGTTTAAGACTACATAAAAAACACAGATTCACACAAATAAAAATGAATGTGTCCCAAATAGTGAGTTCAACAAAGATAAAAATCTTTTGGAGGCAGTTAAGGATATAGGCTTTGACTGTCACGAATGTAATCACAAAAATCCACAACAAAATACTACCAAGTTGAATTCAGCAATATATAAAAATAATAATACATCATGAGGCTTATCCCAGGATTGCAAGGCTAGCTCAATTTTCAAAAATCAATCAATGTAATTCACCACGTGAATAGTCTAAGTATCTAAATGGGTGCAGAAGTAGTATCTGAAAAATTTGACACCAATCATGATAAAAACTCTTGGCAAACTACAAACACAAGTTGATAAAGTGAATCTACAAAAAATGTACAGCATCCTGATTTCAAACTTACTCTAAAGCCACTATAATCAAAACAGTGTGGCATAAAGACAGATATACAAACAAATCAAATAGAACAGAGCCCTGAAAGAAACACTCACATACATGGTCATTTATTTTCAGACAAGGTTGCCAAGATCATTCAATGAGAAAGGACAATCTTTTCAACAGTGATGGCAAAATTGAATATCCACATGCAAAAGAATGAATGTAGCCTTAAATCATATATACAAAAATTAACTCAATATAGATCAAAGACCCAAACATAAGAATTAAAACGATAAAACTTATAGAGGAAAACAAAGGGGAAAAGCTTCCTGGCATTGGATTTGACAATGATTTCTTAGATATGACACCAAAAGCACAGGCAACAAAAGGAAAAAATAAGTGTACTAAATAGAAATTTAAAACTTCTTTATATGAAAGGACACAATCAACAGTAAAAAGGAAAACTATATAATGGGAGAAAATATTTCAAATCAAGTATCTGATAAATATCCAGAATATATAAAGAACTCTTACAACAACAACAAAAACCTGATAAAAAAAAGACAAGATTTAAATAGGTATATCTCCAAAAATGATATATATATGGCCAATAGCACATGAAAATATGTTCAGCAGCATTAATCATTAGGGAACCGCAAATCAAAACCACAGTGAGATACTACCTTGCACCCATTAAGATGTGTGTGTGATACTAACAAAAACACAGACAATAACAAGAGTTGGTGAGGATGCAAAAAAATTAGAATCCTTGTGCAATGTTACGTGGGAATTAAAATGGTGCAGCCACTGTGGAAAACAACATGGTGGTTCCTCAAAAAATTAAAAATAGAATTACCATATAATCCAGCAATTTCAGTTCTGGGTATATACCTGAAAGAACTGAAAACAGGGACTTGAGCTATTTGTGCACCCAATACTCACAGCATCATTATTCACAACAGCCAAAACGTATAGGCAATACAATCTAACAGCAGATGTATCGATAGACAAAATGTGGTATGTGACATACAATGGAATATTATTCAGTCTTAAAAAGGAAGGAAATTCTGATACATGCTACAACATGGATCAACCCTGGAAATATACTAAGTGAAGGAAGCCAGGCACAAAAGGACTAATACTGTATGATTCCACTTAGATGAGATACATAGATTAGCCAAATTCAGAGAGACAGAAAGAATGGTGGTTGCCAGAGTATGGAGAATTGGGAAATACTGTTAATGGTTACAGGTTCACTTTTGCAAGATGAAAAGAGTTCTGCAGATGGAAGTTGGTGATGATTGCACAATAATATATGTGTAATACTTAACGACACTAAACTATACACTTAAAAATGGTTAATCTGTGTTTTGATCTGTATTTTTTTATTTTTAAAAATTGTGATAAAGTAAGAATAAAACTACAGCTAACATGCTTGATAGTGAAATACTGAACTCTTTCCTTCCAAGATCAAAAGCAAGACAAGAATTCCACCCTCAACATTTTTATCTACTGTCAGACTAAATTTTATTCAATGCCAGAAGGTGAGAAAAATAAAAGTCATAAACATCCAAAAGGAAGAAGTAAAATTGTCTTTATTCATAGTTGTACATATAAAAAGTCCCAAAGAATTTTTTAAAGTTACTACAGCTAGTAAACAAATTTAACAACATTGTATAATACAAACAATATACAAAAAAAAAACTGCATTTCTATATGCTAACAACAAACTGGAAAATAACTTTTTAAAATAATACCATTTACTATAGCATTAAAAAAACATATTTAGTGATAAGTTTAAAGAAAGATGTATAAGATTTCAGCACTAATCTTTCAAAAATATCACCAAGAAAAAATAAAGTTCTAAATAAGTAGGAAGAGATACTGAATTCAGAGATTAGAAGACTCCATTCTAAAATGACAACTCTCCCCAAACTGATAAGATCAATGAAATCTAATCCAATTTTTTAAAATGTATACACTCATTCTAAAATGCATAAGGAAAACAAAACAAAACCTCAGAAAAGTCAAACCAGCCAAAACAACTTTGAAAAGGAAGAATAGTTAGAGGACTGACACTACCTGATTTCAAGATTTATTATATAGCTATAGTATTTAAAACACTGCGGTAGTAGTGAAAACATAAATAGGTTAATGGAAGAAAATACAGGCTTTAAGCAGATCATACACATGAAGACCAAATTATACTTCAGCAAGTGCATCAAAAACTCAGTGAGGAAAGTCTTGTCAACAAATAGTGCTGAAACAAATACTCATGTAAAGACTGATTTTTATTTCATGACACAAAAAAATTAACTTGAGAAATGCTAAAACCATAAAGTTTCTAGTAGAAAACACAGAATAATTCCTTTGCAAGCTCAGATTAGGCCAAGATTTCTTAGTCAGGATACAGACAGCATTAATCATAAAAGAAAAATATTAATAATAGAACTTAATAAAAATGTAAAACTTCTGCTAATCAAAAATCACATTAATAAAGTAGAACAGAAAGCCACAAATTGGGAGAAAATACTCACAACATACATATCTGATGAAGGATGTGTATAATAATAAAAACTATCCACAACTTAATAATAGGACAAAGAATATGATTTTTTTAATCATCAAAAGACTTTGAACGGACACTTCCAAAAGATGATATATGAATGGCCAATAAGGGAATGAAAAAGTGATCAATGAAATTAGTCATCAGGGAAATGCAAATTAAAACCACGTCAATTCCATTACCTGCTCACTTCAAGCAACTAAAATTTAAAAGTTGACAACACCAAATACTTGCATGGATGTGCAACAATTAGAACTCACATACTACTGGAAATGTAAAATGTACAATTTGGAAAACTGGCAATTTCATAAGAAGTTTAACATATATCTACCATGTGACCCAACAATTCCAGATAGATGTCTAAGAGAAATCAAAACATATATTCACAAAAACCTTGCACAAGAATTTGCATAGCTGCCTTATTCATAATAGCCCCAAACTAGAAACAGCCCAGGTATCAATAGGTGAATAGATCAAACTATGATATAGTCAATGGACGACTACTCAGCAATTAAAAAAAAAAGAACTACTAACACCTGCAGCAACATGGATGAGTCTCAAACATAATGCTGAAAAAACCTAGGCACAAAAGAGCACGTTGTATGATTCCATTTGCAAGACATTTTAGAACAGGTAAACTAATCTATCATGAGAGAAATCGTAAGTTACTGATTCTTGGGGTAGAATAGTGGGATCGACTGAGGAAAAGGGAATTTTCAGAACAGATGATAATATTCTGTACCTTGACGAAACATGGATTACAAGGGTACATGCATTTGTGAAAACTGCTTGAATCTTACACTTAGTATCTGTGTGTTTCACTGTATGTACATCATATCACTACTTTAAAAAGATAAAAAAGTACATTGGCTTTGGAATCACACAGGCTTCAGCTCTGCCACTTACCAGCTGTGTGACCTTGGCCAAGTGTTAAAACTGTCAGTTTCCTTATCTGTAAGATGGGGAGAACAAGACTTGAGAACAACCTCAGAGAGTTGCCAGAAAGAATGAATGAGATAGTGCTTTAAAAACATTAGGATACAGTAAATGCTCACTAAATATTAACTCAAAAAGTTAGAAATCTTTCATCACATATTTCAGCGAAGGAGAAACATGCAGGAATGGCTAGAGCAGCTAAATGCTAGGCAATTCACATATATTATCTCACTTATTTTTTAAAACAACCCCTAACAGGGATTATTACTGTTTTATGGATGAAGAAATTGATCTTCACAGGTTGCCTATGGTCACTCCGTGAGGAGTGGCAAAGGCCAAGATGCAAACTTCCATTCATGTTTTTCTCCACTGCATGATGTCCATAATGGTCACTTACAGCAACATGTCCCTGCAACTGCCAAGACAGCACAATTCATATGAAAAGCTTACTAAGGTTCCCTACATTCTTGATGGCAGGGTAGTGTCAAGCTTGACACTAAAAAAAGAGGCCAATTCTGAGAGCTTGATTAGTGGTGAATGGAAGCAGGGCTCCTGCCTGAAGCCTCCAAATAGAAGCCTGAAAATGCTGCTCTAGGCTTTTACACTGTTCATGGGCTTCAAGATAGGTTTTTTTTTTTTCGGTCCCTCTTTTAACATTTTTAAATTGGAAGTATAGTTAATTTACAATGTTGTATTAGTTTCTGGTGAACAGCAGAGTATTCAGTCATATATATTTATTTTTTCATATTCTTTTTCACTACAGGTTATGACAAGCCACTGAATATAGTTCTTCCCTGTGCTATACAGTAGGACCTTGCTTGTTGTAGGTTTAAAAGGTAAAAAGGCTCAATACCAAATTTAGACTAATGATCAAGAGAGAGAAAAACAATTGGTAAAATAATAAATGAAGTCACTATTTAACTATGCTTTAATTCTTGTATCATTTGAACTAACCTTTCTGTTTTTGCTTTTGAATTTTTTTTTTAAACACAAGATGGTTCTTGAATTTTGAATTCCCATTTTCCCACACCTTGATTTGCACTGACAATTATCATTTTTCACTGTAGGAATTGCAAACTCAAATGCCTACAGAAGATAGGAAGGAAACACAAGTGGATGAAGGAGGCCATGTGGGTTTGTGACAATCCTGAGAGTGCATGTTCATTTCAAGACAGCAGTCACTACTCTGTTCCGGCCAACAGACGCCATGTAGAAATCCAGGCCCAGTGCTGGACCATTCAACTTATCAAGGCCAAAAACCCAAGTATTTATGGAACTCCTGCGGGTTTTAAATGTTGACAACTAACATGCTTTTATTTAAACAACTTAATTAGTCAGGCAAATTATGTCCATAGGCCAGACTACATTTAGTACATGGAATTCTGTGCTAAGGTGAAAAAGACATAGCACTATTTTCACTTTGATTCTTATTATTCATGCAGTTTATCCTTTCCTATGCTTACCAACAGAGGATGCATTTATTCAATTTTGGTTCATACTGTCAGCACCCTTCAAAGAAAGATGATTATCTCTTCCTACAGATTCCCATCTACAAGAAATACTGGAACCTCCCCCTTCAAAAGATATGTAACTTCAGGTATAAAAGCCAAAAAGCTGTCTTAACTGACTAGTGTACTCAGAAAATGCTGATGAAGACTCATTTGGGACTGAGTTGCTATCCTCTCCTTAATATACCTAGAGAACCACAAGATTTTTAGAGAAAATATCAATTTGTAAAACTATGTATAACTTTAAAGAAGGTGGTTTTAATAATCCAGGGTTTCCTTCCACTACCTGATACATTTGCCTAATACAGTAAATATTCCCTTTAGTGAGATATCAAAAGAAGAATTCCCACACATCCCCTTTGTCATCACATACTGAATTTAAACAACCACTTAAACTTTTAAAAAATGAAATAAAACACAGGTTTATATGAATCTTTCTCTACTCTGAAAATGTTACTGCAATACCGCTCCTATAGAAATAATTTCAGCAACCTACTTTCAGAGTTTCTTCTCATTTCTTCTTAGTCATCCATTACAAATCTCCAGACCCAGATGTTCAAGCATTCCCTGAACCCACCACAGATAATAGCAGAGATCCATGACTATCCACGAACCCAACAACAGCCTTTGAATGCAACTATCTTTTCATCAACTGTAAACAAGTCCTAAACTCTTGGCTCCATAGGAAGTCCCAACCAAGTCAGTATAAACTCTGAAACAGGGGCAGAGGTCAAGGGGATGAGAGCTCAGCCTAAACTCTGGATCTCATCCCACCCCCACCCTGTTCAAAAGAAACCTTATCAGAAGGGAACTCCCCAGTAAAAGGCCACATTCAGGAGACGTGATCTTGCAGTGATCTAGCAGATTCAGCTGAGGCTTTGGAAGCAAGGCTCTTACAACTGTTATGAATGTGAAATACCAAAATCACAAACAGAATGGGGAAAAATCAAGGGAGATTTGTGAACTTATTACCTTCATTTGTTTCAGGAAAGAACCAGTCTGATAATAAATAGTGGAATAACCTTGAAGCTGAACCACAGGAGAAATCTCTTTGGGAACCTATTTCACAGTGAATTACTCTACTTTATGTCCAAAATCATTCTAACATATGCAAAAGAGCCCAAATGACACTTTAAAATAGTCTTTATTCTGTACACAAAGAGCCCCGTTATATATGTTACAAATCATTACACTGCCTTAAACTCTTCCATTAGCAAGTCTTAGAGACAGGACAGAAGATTTGGAAAACTGCAGCTCTCAAGTCTCAGATACTTCACTATGTACTTTGGGGTGAGTCATTTAACCTCTCTAGGCCTCAGCATTCTCATCTGTAGGATAGAGATAGTATCTTTTCAAATAGGTTTTATGAGTGCTTAATGAAAAATGCACATGGAAAATTTTGTGTGTAATAAAATTTAGCCATTATTTATTATTATTATTATTATTATTATTATTATTATTATTATTATTATTATTATTATTATTATTATTATTATTTAGTAAAGCCACATATCATCAAGTTTTGTGTCTGTGTGTCTGCCTTCCTGACTAAATCAGAGTCCCTAGCGGGCGGGAACTGTGTCTTAGCTTGGTGCACACATCAAAAAGAAAAAGAGAAGCAGGGAAGGAAGGAAACAATGGAAGTAGGTATTACAAAGTCAAACTTGAGTTTAGATAATTTTATATGATATAAGCCTTCTCATTCCCACTGAATATGTTCAAAGTGCCTGGCACATAAGGAATACACAATAAATGTTCACTTTCTTTCGTTTTTCTCTAACACTCAGCTTTAGATCATTCTCTGCAGACCACACCTAGGTTTATATGAACTGTTTTCTGAGATCAAAAATTGTGACAGATAGTTTGACAACAAGGAACAGACCCATCGGACATAGAAAAGAATACTGGAATTTTGGAATGTACCTATGAGTACTCTAGCTAAGATGTGCATTTCTCGTTTGTAGCTGGAAGAATCCACAAAAAGTCTACCTGGGATCCCAAAACACATAACAGATGAATGCAAAGCCAGAGCAAATTAGTGGTGTTAGGCTTATTCTGAGAAGCTGTTTTTTTATCTTGCCTGTTCATATCACCATCACTCAGGAACCTCTGCTTGGTGGGCATCTTGTGGCAAGAGAGGGCAAAGAGTAATTTAACTTTGAAGTCTTTTTTAAAATGCTCATTTATCTAGGGCCTAGATTAGTAGAAAAAATACATACATAATGTATGTATTTTAAAGTTTAAGTCAGCAGGAATCCCAAGTATGCAGTTTTTTAAATGGTAATGGTCAGGTTCTTAATTGTACATATTTCTTCCTCAGTATGCTCTCTATAAGACCTTGCTACTGATCAAAGAAAAAGTACATAATCTGTGTATTTATTTTTAATAAGCAGAGGGTTAACTTCTTTAGTTCCCCAAGAGGTTAAATAAATGAGTTGGCAGATGGTCATTTGAGCTACCTGCTGCTGATTGAGGGAAGGGGTCCAAAACATCCTAGCAGTCAACCAGATGGTAAAGAACAGTCTTGGCCAAAGTGGTCAGCAGCCTATGAGCTCTGCTCCTCTGAGGGCACTATTTCCTTGAAGCAGTAACTTACACCTGCTAACATCTGGAATGATTTATCTTAGTGTCATTAAGAAACACAGCTAGTTTAATTGAATAAAGTGGTTACAACGACCATTAGTAAAGAGAAGACTGAGAATTTCAACATTATACTACATAGCCTAGAATAGCAAATACTTAATAGTGTTTACCATTTGCCAAGCATTGTTCCAAATACATATATTTTTTCATTTAAACTTCACAACAACCATGTAAAGTAGGAATGATTTTTTGTCCCCATTTAATAGATGATAATACTGAGGCAGAGAGTAGTTAAATAGCTTAGCCAAGATTACAGCGCTGGTAAATACTGAAGCCAAGTTGAACCCAAGCATTCCTGGGCTTTTGAGTCAGAGTCCATGCTCTTAATTCAGAAGAGTTCCGGCTTATATAAAAAGCCTAAAGGACTCATTTGAAATGCAGACAAAAAATTTATATAAATACATGTTCACTGTGGCATTCTATATTATGTAGAAAAAACTAGAAATAACCTAAGTGTCCAATGAAATGGGTTAAATAAATCATGGCAAAGTTATTCACTTACAATGAAATATTATCCTGCCATTAAAAACATTTATGAAAAATGTTTCACGACTTGGGACAATGTACCCAATGTAATGCTGAGTGGGAAACGAATAAACAGGATACAAAATTGTATATATGATTCCTAACCATGTAAAATAAGTACTCTCAGACACAAACTGGAAGGACATATTTTCAAATAACAAACAATGGTTACTTCCAGGTGATGGGATTTTTTTGTTTTTTTTTATTTTGTATTTTTTAATTATGTGTATTTTTTTCTTTTAGTGTTTTCCACAATGAACATACATTATCCTACCATCAGTTTAAACAAAGGCAATTTTTTTCTTTTAATCAAGTTGCACAAAGATTCACGGGCAGTTGGTATAAACAGCTAAAAAGCTTCTAATCTAAACTTCAAGTAGTTACTTTCCTTGACAACACAGTCAGCATGTAACCAAAAAGAAAGCTCATATTCAACTTCAGAAACAATTAAAATACAAGTATTTTCAATTTTGGTCAGTGTTTATTGTCTAATTATTTGTTGAATTATGGTTACAAGAAGAGAAATGGATTTAACTATAGAGGCCAAAAACCCAGGAATGGCTTTGCTGAAACAGAATAAGGGACAAAAGTCTGACTCTGGCGGAAGAACAGCTGTTGCTAATCCAACTATTTACCCTTTGACCCTCTATCTGGCCAATAACTGAACAGTATCAATTGTTTTCCTGTATTATGTGCTGTTTACAATCCCTGAGAGGCATGAAAGGAATTAATAATTTAGCCTAGAAAGCTGACAGCCTTTATTGGGGAGCCCCTTGTCTGTGGAACAGAAATCAGAGCAAGTAGCTGTCCTGAAGTCACAGGTCCCTTTACTGTTCCTGTTTTATAGCCTAATTGGCCCCCAAACATAAATCAATTATTTCTCCTGTTTTAAGCAACAATGACTTCTATTCTTTAATTTCCCTTGTATCAAGTCAGTCCTTGTTCTCTTGAGTTTTACAACTACACGGTAAACATGATAGCTGAGGAAAAAAATCGGGGAGCAGGACAGACTGGGGTTATTTGGAAACAGAAGCACAGAAAGGTTATGCTGTTTTGAACTTCTCTTGACCTTTGACTGCCCTTGTCCCTAGCTTATGCTAATAGGCAGGGTACAGAGATGCTTCTTGTAGAAATGAACTTAGCCTGAACCTGTGCCATAACATTGGACTCCAGAAAGCCCGGGAATCATAGGAAGGCAGCCACAGTGTGAACAGCTGCCCATATTCTAACATCACAAAAAAGGTAGAGGGGGAAAAGCCATATGAATTGGACAAAGTCAGTCTTCCCTTATCTAGTTCCAACACACCCCACCTGTTATCCCAAACTTGCCATCTACAACCACTGCCAAGCACAATGGGAAATCAGCAAGAATGGTTATTCCTGGTTCAAAATAAGCACGTATGAGCACACCTTCCCTATCAGGAATCTGGTGGGTAAGGGAGACACTGGAGCCTCTAAATTCCAAAGACGCATTGCAGAGAAAACTCTAATGTGCAAAAGTCACAGATATTAACATAGGAAATATTATTCCTTTCCCATCAGAAGCCGTGGAATTTGCAGTATCAACAACCATAACCTACTTACACATGTACAGCCTATTTTAGTCTTGAGGTTTCTTACCGCTTTTGCTAGAACTGAGCGCGCTCAACTGAACTCCAAAGTTGGTTCATACCAAGATGATAAATTTTTATTTCTGCCTATTCATTATTATAATAATATCAGATCATTATACATTGAAAGAGGAAGACTAAAAATACCACTAGCTTCACAGAAACAGTATGGGGATTACTGAGAATACTGGCGACATAAGCTAAGCACAACTCTTAAAAGAAGAGTGCTTATTTTTAAGGTAACTCCCATACTATACTGATATATAAAGTTATGTTCAATATCTGTTCATTCTCATAGAATGGAGAGGTCTATAAATCACCATATCTAGCTAGAGATTCCATGCAGAAATGTTAAACGAGGTAGAATTACTTGGTCCAGAAAGAATAATCATCCAATAATAATCTCCATAAGAATACCAAGTGCCTTTAAAGACTATTTTGAGCTATTTTCAATTGCCACTAAGTGCAGAAAAGGAGAGTAAGTTTGGGTACTAAGTGCTAAGTTAGAGGTTTTAAAAAAGTATATTTTCAAATAATTCTAGACAAGGAAATATTTTCCAATAGACTGTTAATAAATGAGGGTGGGACACAGACTTATTTTTTGTGCATCCCTGAAGCCTAGAACTGGGCCTGGAGCAGAGACAACATTCAAATGCTAAAATGAGTTCTCAATTATCTGGCTTGTTTTACGTGTAGTTCTGTCTGAAAGATTACAGGGCACGTCAATGTTGTTCCTAGTGTTCAAAAATACTTCTAAGAAAAGACCATGATTCAAAAATTTACTTCTCCTCCTAAATGATAGCTTTTGATAAGACAAAGTGAAAACAGTGTGTTCACTCACAGGTATTGGGATGTCAGGTGGGAAGATGGAGTAAACTGAGCCTACATTACACCTACTAAGCTGATTCTGAACTTTATGACTTTCAAAAAGACAAATCTATTTCCCTGGTGTTTGATAAGCATTATGAGACTTATTTTATCTTGCAATTAATAATTAGTTGGACAAACATGAATGTTTATACTATTAACGTGTGTGAGCCAACTCCCTCAGAGAGCTGATACTAGCCAGGATGGTGAGGTGAACTTTTTCACTTACCACAACAGCAGATTGGTGACAAACAGCCAGCCCCATGACCCTAAGAAGTACTAGAACTAGAAAAAATAGCTCTGGATCATCTCACTGATTCTCAATCTAAACTATCATTCGACATTTTGGAATTACAGCAAAATGAGGTCTGTATACGTTGCATATCCCCATGTCCTATTTCCAATAGTTGTAACCATATCCCAGAATGGTGTTCACCACAGTATGAGAGCACTATAAACACAGATGATTATCTATGGTCAAGACTTACATGGTCCTGAAAAGCCTCATTTAATTAGACCTTGAAATGGTCATTCTTATACCTTAAAATTAAGGATGTAGATGAAGATGCTTTAGAAATTAAACTGTGATATGAAGGTTATCAACTATAAATATCTAAACCTTTATATAATCCTTCTTTGAAAGCCATTATGTCAAAATTAGCCAATACTTTTAAAAAGCGGTTGTGGGTATATGGTTGTATGTGTGCCTAAATGAAAGCACAGTTTTTGTTGCTGCTGGTTTCATGGGATGACGGAGAATAAGAGGAACAGTATTACACAGAAATTTTCAGCAAAGAATTTTCTATTAAATGGCTGGACTCTGGCCACCAAACAGTATTAGGAGAAGAAAAAGAAAACATAACTGGAAAAGAGAGAATGCCCTCCCATAATCATAAATTAAAGTAAAATAAAATCTCAGCCAATAGCTCTATCAATGACAGATACACATTTAAGTTATACATTTAAAGGTACACACACGTATACTTTTCTTACCCTTGGACCCTGGGGAACATTCAGAACTTACTAGTGCTTGGGTCGAGCTCTGCCAATTCGTCCTGACAAAAACCTAAAGAGAAACAACAGGAAAAAAAGATTATGATTCATGAATTACTCTAAGGTACTTGCAAATACAAAAAAATCAAGTATCATATAGTGGACAATAAATCCAGACTCAGAAGTCAAATTTGGATTTGAATCTTAGCTCTGACTTAATATTTAGCAACTGTATATCCCTCTCTGAGCCTCCATCTAATCATCTTTATATAAAAATGGAGATAGTAACAGTACTTATCATGAAGTAGTAAAGAAGATTAAGTGAAAACATTGATACAAAATGCTTACTTAGCACAGTCCTTGGCACAGAGTAGGAGCTCAATAAACACACAGCACAAGTAATTATGAATAAGCAAGGCATGCCAATGGTAATTAGAATAAAAATTCATAGTAAAATTTCAATTCATTTAATATTTGTCATGTTCTATTTATGTTATCAATTAATTACCTTCCAAAAGAAAGTAAAATACACAAATGTGACCTTATAACAAATATCAAACAGGGTAATTTTACTTAAAATTTTCACAGTTGTTGAATAATTTTTACCTGTACACATAAATGGAAGCAATTCTTCCATTAATAAATATGCTATTCAGGTTGGAATAAATATCTCTCAAAGTACATTTCAGCCCAAAAAGTCTGAGCTACATCTGTCTGATTAGTGTGTTAATTATCATGCTGAAGAGAAAGATCAAGCACAGTGAATAGCAAACACACAGTAGGTATTCCATACCCAGTGAATAAAAGTTCTTTTTTCCTGGAACGATTGCTTACTTTCTCCAGTTTGCTTTCTACTCAACTTCAGTTTAAGCATTTCCTCAGAAAAGCTTTTTCTTGCCTCCCTTACCCTTGCCTCATACACAAGGTCAAAGCTCCCTGTAATAATGATCTATAATGCTTTGTGCATTCATCAACTAGGAGTTACTTTTTCAATGTCTAATGCCACTATTAGACTGTTCCACTAATAGTGTTCCACTGACCCAGGGAAAGGGACTGGGCCTGTCTTGTTCACAGCTGTATCCTCATTATCTCTCACAAGCTTAGCACAAAGTAGCTGTTCAATAAACATCAACTGTAGTATCTCAACGATAAATTCAAAAATAATGGAGCAAACCCCTAGGACTAGAGGAATACAAGAGCATTTTCTATCATCAGAGTTGGGCAGCCAGAAGCCAAAGAATCACTGTGGAGAAGAGGGATTCAAATAGCAGGCAGAATGTTTAAACACCATAACTTTTAAAGTCCTTGCAATCCTGGGCTGTTTGGGCCACACCATTCACCAAACATGCCACATGCCTTCTTGCCTTCCTGTGCATCCTCCTTCCTCTCCACTTGTTAGAGAACTATCCATCATCTTTCAAGATCCAGCTCAGATATCATCACCACCATGAAACACAGCCTCCTCCATGCTTCAAGGGTAGGGTCTGTGCACATCCACCTGCAGAGCTGCTTCTATGCCCAGAGCAGCTGCCAGTACACTATGCAAGGTGCTCAAACGCAGGATGAACTAAACAGGAAATACGATCCTGCCTCAAATTAGTCTAGGGAAAGAAAGTCATAGGATCAGAAAATTTTAAGTCTAGCCTGAAAAGCGTGTTGAATGTCTGAATGAGGAAATCTGATCTGGAAAACCAGAGTTTAGAAGCTGCGAAAGTGGCTGAGATGCCTAAGAAGGCTCACCTCAGAGCAACTTTAAAGCCGTTCTACATAAACGCAACAGGAATAGGAAAGTGTGGAGAGATACTAGGCAAAGAGGAAATAACTCATCATTACACATGGGTCCAATGTTGAACACCCTGGCAGAAGAGAAACTGAGAGTGAGTGTTCACATAACATAAACTGACTCAAAAATAGGACAAAAGCACAGGAAGGCTAATGTATGTAGCAAAGTTATAGTTCAAGCCACTTTTAGTTTAGTTGTATGACTTTAGGCAAGTCACTCAAGTCCCCTATTCTGGACCTCAGACTCTGACCATTAAATGAAAGAACTGTATTAGAAGTCTCAAGAAAGGACAAAGTCTAACACATTTTCTGAAAACAAATACCATTCTGAACTCAAAGTAACTAAATCAAACACAAAGGGGAGGTGACTAAAAAACAAAGACAACCCTAAGAAAAACAGTTCAAGTGGATGTCTGTTGCTTTTATCTGCCTAGCAACCACTCCCCCCTTCTTCTGTTAATGGCATCCCGATTTTCCTTTGGAGACTTACCCTTTTACACAATCAGTCCATGACCCAAGTAGGATTGACCCTAACCCTGCTATAAATTGGGATTAACAACAGCACCTACCTTATAGTTCTGTTAAAAGGATTAGATGAGATAGTGCATGTAATGACTATGCACTGTACCTGACGAAGTAAAAGCTCAACATGTGTGAGCTACTACTAAACCCAAGGATCCATCCGATCTAGGGCTGTATCCGTGGTAGCAAAGAGCAGATGATAGGAGGTAACTATTGACCCATTCATGACATCATCCTCAAAGACCGTGGATGGAACCCTATAACATCATTGTTTATTTACTTGCTGTGATTCTTGAACCTTTTTTTTTCCCCAATATTTTGAGCCTGGAAATTGTTTGATGTAGTGATTCCAAATGTAGTATGCTAGCCCCTAAAGGAAGAACTCTTTTCATTTGCCCTAAAAAATTCCTCCAACGGTCACAAAGAGCCCTGATTATGGAATTCAGTAACTATGTCTACATTCCCTCCATCCAGCCCTGAGACCATTGGCTAATAATGTTGTCTCTGGTTTTACAGATTATCACTAATGCAGGAGGCCTGAGGAGATACAGAGAACAATGTTAATTCCACCTCCTGACAACAAGTCAGTGGAATGGCTAGATCTGGCTACCAGTCTCAAACAGTCTCAACCAGATCTAGCTAGCAAAATGATTGCTAGCTAGAAGAATCCAAATCACTGCTAGAAGTAACCCCAAGGTGTGTTCAATTTAACACAAAGGCAAAGGATATCAGAGCTGTTTGGTAAAAAAGCAGATCACTAAGCCACATAAATACACAAACATAACCCCAAAACCTTCTGTCACACAGAATACAACACATTAAACAGATTAGGAAATGTTCTGGAAATCCAGGACAGTGACTTAAATTGCTTTAAAAAGTGAAAGAAAATGCAGGTTGGTTCCTAAAATGACAGATATATCATGAAGTCACCATGCTCATAAGCACTCTATAATTTAGTGCAAAGCTTACATTCACTTATCATTGGTTACCTTAGAAGACAGATGCATAGTGAAATTATGTTTCACTCATCTGAGTTAGAGTTGGATTCAAACCCCAGATTTGCCACTATTTTTAATTAACTACCCTATACCTATTTCTTGAAATGGGGATAAAAATAACCATCTTGTTCAACCATTGTGAGATTTGGTGAATATATATAAATCACCTACTTTACGGCAGGAGGTCAATAAATGGCTCAAAGTCTAGGGATTTTCTTTAATACAGAGGAAGATCCAGTTGATAAGCTTTTCTCCAATAGGAGAAAATTTGACAATAGGAAAAAGATCAGTGATTCCTCAGTCTGTGATTGGCTTCAGTAACAGATTAAAAAATTATTGATTTTTTTCTTTACTATTTTGACTATAAAGTTATGTATTTACCATAATAGGATCTTTTTTGTGTGTCAGAAAAGGTTGTATTTCACAGAAGACAGAGAAGATGGTGAATTATATAGTATACAGAAAATAATACATCTTTGGCTATTATTTATACAAACTTTTTTTTTTTTTTTTTGCAAAGGGGAGGTAATTATTTAGTTTTTCAATGGAGGTACTGAGGATTGAATCCAGGACCTCGTGTATGCTAAGTATGCGCTCTTCCACTTGAGCTATACCCTCCCACCCACCATAACAGGATCTTAAATAAACTTTGAGTATCCATTTTTTACCAAATGTGAACATATAAAAGCCATGGGTAATGCCAGTAAACAAACCCAAGCCTGAAAGACTAGCTAACTGTAATCTATAATGTGTCTTCTACAAAAGCAAGTTAAATATTACTCTAGGAATGTTTTAATTTAATTTAACTTAGAAAGGCAGCATGGTGCAGTAAAGACTTGGATCCTGGTTATGATTCTGCCAGTCTATTTTGAAGCCCACAGGCAAAATTAAGGTGAGGCCACTAAAAGGCAAAGTTCTACAATTCAAATCAAACCTTATCTTTCCCCAAAACAGAAATCATACATTAACATTAATTAAAATGTTTAATTAAAAATATGATATAACATTATTTCACCTAGTCAACTGCAATTCAAGTTTCAAATAGTTTTAAATGTGCAATATGAAATGAAACAGAGCTTCCAGAAGGAAATCAGGATCTAAAAGCATTTTGAAACTGCTCTGCTTAGTTAGGTTCCCCTACCCTGAGCTCCTAAGTCCCTGTGCTTCCCACATCAAATCATGTTCAGGGCTACTGACTGTGAATACAGGTTGTAGAGAATTTTGTTTTCCATACTCTCCAAGAAAAAGCTAAAAAATTTTATCCAGGCTTTGTAGTGATATATAAGTTATTCACTGGTCCTTTCTGGATCATCAGCTCTGGTCATCTTTATCAGTTTCCCATTTCATCCCCAAACATATCCCCACCCCAACGCTGAGGCATGTTCCAGGATCCCAGGAAAAGCTGCTCAGTAAATGTTTAGGAACTGTTTCTTTCTCTAAAAAGCAATGGCACTAAACCATATGCCACTAAAATGAAGTTCTTCCCAAAATATCAAGTTCTAAGAGAAAATAAATTTCACTATTCTCTGCAGAATAACAATGAATGTCCAACAGAAATTCTACAATGATACAAATGTTCCCTATCTACACTGTCCAAAACAGTAGCCACTAGCCACATGTGACTGCTGAGCACTTGAAATGTGACTAATGAGACTAAGCAACTGAATTTTTAAATTTTATTTAATTAAAGTAGCCATATAAGGGCAGTGGCTATTACAATGGACAATGTAAGACAGGAGAAGAGATTTTCCTCTTCTCAATTTGTTATGCC